TGAATAAATAAAAAAAATATGTAATTACTTCTCTTCAAATTTAACAGTTTATTTTTTAAAAAGGAAACATGTTAATGAGCTGAAAAGGTCTTTTTGTACTATTATTTAAAAATTAAACACTGTGAAGGTTGCACAAATCAGGAATTATAATCAGAAATGAAAGAAAAACAAATGTTTCCTGATGGGAGGAAAAATAAATCTTATTAATTTATCAGCTTMTCATTCAGTTTGTTGGAGATCTTTTAATTTAAACACAGAAACAGCAGAGATGAACTTTTAAATTGACGTTTTACATAAGATGTTTCGATCAAATCAAAGCTTTAAATACATTTATTCTCGTTTTCTTTGTTTAGAACAAAAGGTCCGCTTTTATTGTCAAAACTATTTTAATTTTGTCATTTCTGATTTAAGATTTCATATTGTTTTTACAGTATTTTCAAATGTGTAAATTATTGATCCTCATGAGTCACATGATCCCTGCTATATGAGCCAATCAGAGGCAGCGTAGACAAATCATGACTTCCTGTTTTCAGCTGATTTCCTGTAGTTTGTGAGGTTTAATTCTAGCTTTTTAGAAACTGAAACTTTTATAAAAAAAAAAAAAACAGTGAGTACTGGCAGGTTTATGGTCCACTTTGAGCTCTGACTGWTGCATAAAAACAGATAAATGAGGAATATTACTGCTGTCTCTGTTTAATGAGTCATCCTGGATGAGAAATGATGTTTTAGTCTACGACTGTCACAAGCATTAGAGTTAGAAATAAAGCTCCTCGTGACGATTGTCTCTCATCAGGACCGACTCTGTCCAAGCTGATCCTGACTCCCATCAGTCCGTCACACACCTCCCTCTGACTAAATAACAAGCTCCATCAATCCTGCCCACACACCCTCACAGTCTTATTTCCACCGCCTCCATCCCAGAAATTAAAAAAATAATGATGATAAAGAAAAACAGCAGCAGCTGGTTGGTACCTGTCGGAACGCCTCGCCGTCCCCCTTGCCGGCCTGCTGGGCGATGAGCGTCAGCTTCTTGTTCTTCTCGTTCCTTTTATGTATTTTATAGAGACAGGACAGCAGGCAGACCAGCAGCATGAAGGCGATCAGGCCCAGCAGGGACAGGATGGCCACAGCCAGGGGGGGCAGCTTGTAGGCTGCAAAGACCAGAAACAAGCAAAAATAACGAGTCTTCTGTGGCTGCAGGCGTGTTGCTCTGCAGCTGGAGATAAACATGAGGAATTCTTATCTTAACTGCTTTGTTTTATTCTGCTGATCCTGTTAGAAACACTTTAATCTAATTGTGTGGATAAATGTTCTGCAAGTCAGACGGTTAAACCTCATCCATAAAACAATTCATYCACCTGGAACATTAAGCAGAATTCAATTAGACCCGTCCGGAYACGTTCGTTTTAAAGCTTTGATTCTGCTTTACTTTTGTTTTAAAACAAGATGAAACTGAATTGAAAGAGGTGAGGTTTCAGAAGCTGCTTCTGTGATTTTTTTAAGTTTAGTTTTTACTTTTTTTCCTTATAGATCTGCACATGATGAAGCTGCGATCAAACAAGTCGAAGAACAGCAGGAGAGCAGAGCTTATGAGAAGAAAACAAAACAAGAGTTATGCAATAAATGTTACATAAACTGTCTTTTTTTAACCACTAAAGTTTTATTTTTATTTTTATGCTCCTGTTATTCCAGTTAGCATAGAAGGACACAAAGACACGACTGAACTTTTATATTAAAAACCTTTGTTTTTCTGAAAAACATAAAAAATTAAGATCTGACGACTACAGAGATGATAAACTGTTGGGGAAATCTGAAAATCTTTCTTATTTTATATTATTTCTCATCACGTTAGGCTGAAAAACGTTTTATTCACCAGTGTCGGATGTCTATTTCTTTTCTTTTTTTTAAGTAAAGAGAAAATAGAAAAAGAGGGAAAGACAAAGAGAAAATGTAATTAGAAAGATTGAAATAGAGATTAGATATATATTAAATATATTAAATATATTAA